AAATTATCTGTTGTTTGTATAACGTAAACACCGTGAGTGGATCCGGAGGGAGGGAACTGGAGGCAAGTGCCATCTCCGATGGAAAAAAGTAATTAGGAAGAACTAATCAATATATGATCACAATAAATGTTAACAGTTTTATTACAATGTTATCATAATATTTTTTTATGGTGTGGAGAGTCTATACTTTACCCAAGACACCCGTACATATGTCGGTAATCAGATATATTATATGATTTCTGCTCTCGACCGTAATCAGATACTAGATCCGCCCTTGACAGACATAAACGCAGTTGGCCTGTAAATATTTTTAAAACGATTGTTTTGTATTTGAAATAAAAAAAACATTATAAAAAAATTGTTTTTTCTTCAATATCTATACATAATCTAGTAATATAATCATAATATAATATACATAAACTACTGAGTTTACACGTTCGAGTGGGGTGTTCGTGTTTTATTTGTTATTTTATTTGCATTACCATTGCGTTATTTTCCCGAAATTTTCCAAACGAATATCGTGTACAGTTTGTATCGTATAAACAAAAATTAACATAACATTTGATAAAAAAATGAATAAGCATTAAATTTATATTCGGCCATCGCTGTTAACCCTTCCGTCGGTAAATACAACTATGTAATACATATACTCGTATATTATACTTTAACGTTTCACTGCAAATAATACTTATGTGTTTGTTTATGATCGCGCGTTGTGGACTCGACCGTAACGCATGTCCGTGCATCATTATTGTTACGCTCAGTTTGGCAGCAAGCGCGCAACACTTTGAAGTGTCCATCATCAGGAATAACAACAATAATAACAATAATAAAAACACGGATAATACGGTGAACGCGTTATAATTATTTTTTTCGACTTAGGCACTCAAAAAACGCGGGGAGTGGGAGGGTTGCGGAATAAACGTCGCGATACTATAATACTGTTTTACACGCCTGATGACGTGGCAGGGATAGAAGTGAATATTGGCTCAAACTCCTTCGACAGGATATGGTTTTCGACGGTTTCACACTACTCGTTCGTAGCTGCTCGTCTCATTAGTACGGGTGGCCGTGATGTCGGTTTAGACGCCGCTCCAAAGACGTTATGCACGCGTAGATTTACAATTTTTATTTTTTTCCATTCTTCCTTCCAGCCGTATGATATCTCGTCGGGGCTACCCTTGATGGCAGGAGGTGGTGGTGTGACAGGTGAGCAGTTGTCCGTTACAGCGGCACATTCGACGTGTCCGTAAGGTGTGCGGTGGTGGCCTCAAAAACCTGGTCATAACGCCATAGTGATTTTCTACGTGCCCTACCAATGGGCAATATGAACCGAGTTTTGATATCCACAAATACACGCACGCACGCACGTACATGCACTTAAAAGATACCTTTACGCACGAGCATACACATACTGTCATACTTGCCCGATAACATACACAAAAAATGTAAGAAAATATTCATTATCTCGCGCGTATTTTCAAAACAATAGTAGTGTACGCAGTGGCGTGAATTGGGCTAAATTTTTAGGGTTGCAGGCAGTTCGTAATGTAAACAAATTTGCGGGGGGCTTTGCTTCCCCCACACCATTTAAATCTCTAAATTGACTAATTTTTTTCAACGTGTTTCTTGTACATTATTTATTTGATTTGTCTGTACATTTGTAAATTATGACGTAATGTTGCTAAATGCTAATAGTGAAGCATCTAAGGTCTTTACAATGGTAAATAATACAATAAATAGGTAAATTAAAAGTTACGATTAAATTATATTTAATGTACAATGTTTAAATATTTTTAACGTTAGGGGAATCATAAATGTTTATTTCTAAATTTTTACAAGCGTTATTGTACAGTTCAAGCAACTCTTTATACCATAATGCTTATTGTAAGCTGGAATAGTTCTATTGACATTTTTATTAAGTCAAATATTATTATAGTGACAGCCTATAAAAGAATAATTTTTATGTTTATGAGCTGATAGTAGGATACATTTTTTATGTAATTTATCAACATTGAAAACGTTAAATTCCTTATATAAAAAAATCAGTATTAATAAAATTAGGTAATGTTAAAAATAAATTTAATGATATTGTTTGTCGTTATTCTAATTTTATCTGAATTATTCCTTCATTTATTCATATTCAATCGCGATTTCAATAATTTTGTGTATACCTCGTGATAAATTTTTAATGATACAAGTACTTTACACATATAATAATACTCCAGGCATTATTTAATTAATTAGCTTATTTCTTTGTATAAACTATTTTTTTTATAAATTAATTTACGGGCATTAACAATTTACTAGTTTTTTCGTTTTATTTTATTGTCATATTATAAAATATAATTATGCTAGTGCTGCAGTACATCAACAAAAATTTAAAAATTGGTTCTTAACGAAGTATATTAGTTTATTAATATATTATTGATATTGTAGCTGGGAAGGTTTTAAATTTTTAAATCAATTACATTTTTATTTTTTGAACACGATATTTTAAGGACACTCTTGCGACCCTATGATATTTTTTGGGATGGTAATTGCGACCCCGTACGACCCCCAATGTACGGCATTGAGTTTACGAACGCAAACCCTTAGGTAGCGGACTCTTGCAGTTCGGTTTCTGATAACGCATGGTATATCGCCATCACGAATGATACGATGATACTTGTAATACCTAATATTAAAATATCATGATGTACCCAGGTTTTTTTCCATGTTCGAATAGTGTTCAAATATTAACCATCGCAGCGGTTCACACATTGCTCGTTTATTTTTTATTAAATAACTAAACGAACATTTTAGCTTCTACACAAGTTAACGTTCACTCAGGGGAGAACTGACCCGGCAGGAAGATGGCAATAGCTTCTCTAGCCCTTGGTATGGTCGTAAAAATTTTATATATATTCTCGTACACAAAATGTGATATGTATCAAAGTATAATAGTAGAACGCCATTCATTTTCTATTATAATAAATTGAGATGAATTTCGACTAAAAATATTTAAATATTTAATTTAATTATTTTAATATTGAAAACAGTTGATTACCGCTTTCCTCCCAAGCCCCTCGATACACAGTTCATACCTACGTCTAGCGCTAGAGTTGCACTAGGTATAAATTGTTTCGGTTCGACGATGCACACGACCATTATTTACAAATCGGTACTACACTTTCGGTGATGGTACCAGACGAACGTATTTTTTTTCTTGTCATCACCGACTACGACGGGCGCGGAGCAATCGAACGGTCGTTTTCAAGCGTGTTTACAGTGATGTGCTTAGAAACTCCTGAGACCGATGGATTTCGTCCGGTAAAAGTAATTGAATATTTTAAAGGTTTCAAAGATCTATTCCAACGCGTAGTGTTTACCGAACCGTCGGTACTGTTCAAGAACGCGCACTTTAACCGCTCACTACGTCTGATGCCCCGAGCATTAGGTACACAAAATGGTTTGCCGCGTTCGATTTCACGCGATGACGAAAATCGCGGTTCTTAAAAAAGTCGTTTTACGACCGATTGCGAGAAGAGCCATGACCAGTAGCGCTCCCAGGTTGTTACGAACATTGACGTCGGGGCCCCAAGACTTTAAGGGCGCCTCATCGTAGACGTAAGCTCGGAGGGAATTTTTACCGCAAAAGAATCGAACAGCGCGTTTAATGATAAGTAAATAGTTTTTTATCAAAAAGAATAATTCACCAATTTTTTTAAAATTTTTTATTTAAATTATTTATTATATAATACACGTAATATAATATATATATATATATATATATATATATATATATGTTACAGTTAAATATTGAATTTAATTATTTTATGAAATAACTAGGTACTTCATGAATTACCTATGAATGTTAGTTAAAGTTTGAAATCATACATGAAAATTATACATTAATTAGTTATTTCGTAGAATATCTAGTTATTCTATATAATTTTAGTTTGATATATGTTAAAATATAAAATATATTATAACATTTTATTTGTACATGTAAGGCTGTTGTAGAAACAGATGAAATAACACTGAATGCGTGTGACTGTAAGACTATTACTAAACTTTAAACGTAAGAAATTTTATTGACAATCTTACTAATAATACATGTACAACGATAATTGTATCTATACGATAAACGTACATGAACCACTGCAGTCACTGACAGCCAGAACGGCAGTTTTATCTAATTTATTGCTATGATGGGCAATAAAATAACGATATTATAACTAACTGATTTAATACTTTAACTGTAATATATATATATATATATATATATATATATATAAACACAATAATATCTGCTCCTTTAGGCCGTAGTTTGTTTCGAAGTAGAGATTTATTTTATAGACCTAAGTATTGTATTTATTGAATATCATAAAAAGATATAAAATCAACACAAGTTAAAATTGGAAACACGAGGGCAGAAGTATCGAACACGATTACACGGTTCTTAACGAAAGATAGAAATCGATAACAACTTACCGATTTATATCAACATACTGTTTAATTGTTAACTCGATAATTACAATTCGGAAATAAATCACCGACATCCGAACAGTTGTAGGGCCCCGGACTCGCCTAACCGTCGGAGCCCCGAGATCGTAGTCGTGGCCACCGGCCGCAACCTCCGGGACACGTGACGTTTTAAGGGCGGACGACTCGTGCTGGCCCGCCACGACCTGTAACGCGTGTCGCGAGGACACGTCTCGGTATCGGATGTCCCGGTGACGGGGTAAGGACGTGGGCAGAACTCGAACGTACGGCGATAATATCCGGCGACGAGTACCCGGTGCGTGTGCGTGCACGGCCGGAAAGTTGATAATTAACGGCGGACGGGGCGGCAGCGGCGGAGCGCCTCGCACAGATGCGGCGCGAGTGCGTTGTCGCGCCGCGGGGACGGGACGGGAGCGAGACGCGGGGGGCTACCGAACGCGCGCGCGCTACCCGCCGTCGCCGCCCGCGGACACCGGCGTAACACGGCTCCGTTCTCGCGGGCGACACGGCCATCAGTCGACGGTTCGCGCGCGTTGTGTACGGAAAACCGGACGAAACCGCGTCGTGTGTGCGCGCGAGTGCGTTCGCGGCGACAAGTGTGCGCGTGCGTGTTCGGAACTGTCTTTTGGATTCCGCGTTTCGGTCGGGTCAGGAGAGTTTGGGAAAAAGTTAGGGAACCTAACGTTAGCGCGCGTTTCGGTCGCCTGTCCCGCCGGGTATCACTCCTTTTCGGTCCCGCCTACGATGATCGCGGCGCGCGTCACGCCGCCTTCCGACCGTCGTCACGTCCCGGCACCGGTACCGGGGCCGACCGCGACGTGACGCCCGTCCACCGTTTGAGCGCCGCGTCCGACCGCCGACCACGGCCGGGCTGCTCGCTTACCGGGCGGCGACCGCGGCCGCCGCGGTGGCTGCCGAACGTACGGCTGCCCAGCTGCTGGCCATGCACGGCAACGGCACCGGCGGTGGCCCTTACGTGGACGTCGGCGGCGGTGGTAATTACACGGACGACGACCTGTACGCGGCCGTCGCGGGCAACTGTTCACTGTTGCCGGTCTCGCCGTCCTCGGTGTTCAACAACAGCACCGGTTGTTACGAGGAGGTGATCGTGAAGAACTACTGGGCCCTTGGGTTGGTCGTGTTCCCCATACTGACGCTATTCGGCAACGTGCTCGTCATAATCAGCGTGTGCCGCGAGCGGGCCCTGCAGTCCGTCACCAACTACTTCATCGTCAGCCTGGCGCTGGCCGATCTGCTGGTCGCCCTTATGGTCATGCCGTTCGCCGTCTACGTGCTGGTGAGTGCTAACCCGTTGTTCCGTGATTTACCGACACAGCAGCGGTCGTTGCATTCAGTCAAGGCCGGATCTAAAGGGATGGGAGGGAGAGAAGCAGGGTGTTTTAATCCGCACGTGAAAATTTCGTTTAAAATGTCTGTCAACAGGAGACTTTGTTATCGAAAAATGTGATCCGTATGGGAAAACATTTTACTGCTAAAATGTATCTGTAAAAATATGAACAATTTAAATGTTTTTGTAATGGTGATACAGATAGCAACAGATTATACAACAGAAATATGATAACGATTTAAGATCTTCAAGATCGAATGGACAAATTGTTAATTTTAGAAATCTTGCAATAGATATCTTACCCGATCTAATCATTCAATCAAATCTAAACGTACTGGAAATATTATACAAGTATTTAATGACTGACGTGTTCCCAAATATTCGTATTGCAATCCGTATTTACCTAACGTCGCCGTGTAGTATCCGGAAACGTGAACGTAGCTCAAATCAATTATAACTTATCTTCAATCGGCGATCGGCTAAAAACAAGCCCACGCGTTTATCGTTATTATTGATCGAAAAAAGACCGTGAAGACAATGGACTTTGATCCAGTGATTAATGGCTTTGCCGCGATCAAATCGTGAAAAAGCAAGTTTTGAGCGATTTCAATGAGCAATATTTGTACTTATATATATTTTTTAAAAAACAATAAAAGTTTTACTGTTTACACTCTACGCGTTTTTTGTTTCAAAAATTCGGGCGTATTCGAATCCGCCCGGATACAGGCCCTGCGCGCAGTGCGGTTTTCGTTTAGACGGATCGAGTCGACTTCCACCCGGTAGGGTTGCTTGCATCCAAAGACCGCTGCAATAGCCCACAAAGACCCACGGCCCATCTCAAACCCCTTATATCGTTCCTGAACTCGTCCGGTAGCTTACCACCGCAGTCCTTGATCAAAACGTGTTAACCCTGTAAGCCTCCGTTGTTGACGTAGCGAGTGGTCGTTTTTGCACGGTCTTGAAAACGGCAACCGTAGACGCACGACGTCATATCGTGTTTGGTTTCTCGACGGCGGAGGGTGGACAAAAATTTACGCGCTAAAAGAAACTATTTTTCTTCATATCTTTCGTCCGTCTTGATTTTGTTTATGTGTTGCTGCACCGCGTTCGTCACGCGGTAAATTTCAAAACGCCGTTTTTAGACAATTGCGATTGTTTCACGGGTCGGCGAGCCTTGACCGTATATGATAAGGAAGAAATGGGAGAGAAGGTCGTTTTACGGTGGGACATCGCGTAATAAACGGAATCGGAATAATAATAAAAAAAATAATCATAAAAAAATAAACAAAATAACGGGTGTAAAGAGGAGACTGTATTGAAATAAAAATTCACCACCACCAGTGGCCCGTGCACCGGGTCGTTAAACGCGCCGACGACGACGGCGGCGGCCGGAAGGGCTTGTACCGTTGGAAGTGTGATCGAGAGGAAATCGTATTTACTATATAATACGCGCTGAGTTGACAGACCCGTGGCCACACGGTTCCTTTTGTATTATGACATTCGTCTTATCACATTTTCCTCAGAAATAACATTGTCGTCGCTTCTAACGTCATTACCGCCAAAGCCACCATCGCCATACCTACGTTATATGTATATATATATCATCTTGTCCCATTTGAAAATACCTCGTGAAAACCCTCGGAGGAAATTGATCCACTCGTAATCATCGTCACGCACCCTAGGCGCGTAGCATACATTAATTTAACATTCTCCGAAATCGATTACATATATTATTAATATTATTATTATTAAACACTTGATCGGGGCTTGTGTTATGATTATATTTTGGTTTTTAACAAAACACGTGCGGCAGTTATACCTGCAAATTTGCATTACCGTAAGGTGAATTTCCGTTTTCACTCGGTTTTTCAATTGAAAGTTAAATTTTACCGTGTGTATGCACTGTACCGTATTATTAGGCGTTCGCGCGATTATTGTTCTTTTTACTAGACGCCGTTCGGATAAAGCCCATTGAGCTCAGACCTTTGTACTAGATTCCATGTCATTCAAACCGATTCCACGTGAGAACCTCGTACACACATACAATTCGGCAGGATTATTATCGAAGAGATGTTTGTACATCGCCTCCACCCGGGTTATCCTATCCAATACATTACACGTTATTTGTCTGTCTGAATTACTACCAAGTCTTCCCTATGCCGAGCAAACCACTGGTACTGCTGCATATGAGTGATTCGCTGTCATGTACGGTTTATTTTCGTTTAGACAAATCGTCGTGTTGAAATTAAATCTGACCGAATATCGCTGAATTAAGATGATTTCATAATGGTCGTTAATTTTTGTTTTAGCATTCCTTTTGTTCTCAAGACCGATAATCTCAAAAATAAACATCTCCGTGTAAACAAATTATTTTTACAACCCGAATCAAGGAGATTATCATGAATGTGGTGCAACTGTTCTCATGACGATTGAATCGCTCTCTAAACTTTGTAGGGTATTTATTTTTATTTTCATGAATTCTAAACGAAATTGTAATTGCGTTTTTTGATTTTTCAAGGCTAAAAAATAAACATAAAAATATCATACAAGTTATTATTGTAATCGACTTGTTAATATTCAGCCATCAATTTGAATAATTATTCGACCGGCTAACAATGAACCGCAGCATAACCAAACGATAACGTGGTATGATTTCCAATTCTAGTTGGAGATTTTTTTTTCAGCCTTTCGCTTACATTAAGTATGCATTCTGATCAACTGAAAATGATGTTTGTGAAATATTTTTCTTCTTTAATATAATATTAATTTAATTTGATGCGCATTCACGTAACTCTAGAATTAGTTTTTTTCATCACAAGGGATTAAGATGGTTTTTTTTTACATCTCTTAACTCTCGTATACTCAGTGAACATCGAATACTTATAGATATATTTCATAGTTTATTCAAGGATGCATGTACAATAACAATCGCTAAATTATTTCGCTAAACAGTTTGCTGAAAAGTACAAGTAATATTGTTATAAATATATTTTATCCGTTAAGCGTTTCCGGAGAAAATCACGTTCTCACCAACATGATTAACTAAAGTAAAATATTATACTTATTTGAGCTTTAAGGTTTTTAAGAGTTGATCATTAAGCTTACATTACTGTTGAATATGTGTTTCGTATATAAAATCCCGATTAGTAAAACATGCATTAACAATTTTAGTTAGCTTTTATAACAATATTTCATCCAATGAGGATTTATCGATGAAAATCGAAGTGTGTAAAACGAAAGAGTTTACAGTGTTACGCAAAATATATTCAGTATTATATTCAAATAACGTTTGTAAAACAATTAAGGTATTCATTGCAATTATTTAACCCAATAAACTGCCAACAATAATATTAGTTTTAAACAATATTTTTCAATAGTGTTATATTTTGGTATGAATTAAATTTAAAGCTCATTTCGTATTAAACTGTGATTACTACTCACTTACTGATAGCTTTTCTCAAAAATTGTTAAACGTACGAATTTTAAATTTGGAATAGTGGTTCCTTAAATAATCTAGATGTGCAATGATATCGGATTTTTTGAAAATCACATTTTATTTTTATTATATTTAAGAAAATATTTGATTTTTTTTAATATGTTAATTTAAATAATCACCGATTAAGTTGTATGTAAATTATATATAGTATGATAATAAAAATTAATAACATTCGAATATAAAATTATTTTGCTTTACTAAAAAATTTTTTTCTGTACCGAGAGGGTACTGTTTCTCACATTATTGCCATTCAGCCCCATCGTTAATTAATCAACAAATAAATCATTTTTATATATTGATTTCGCATTCGATTGACCGCGCAATTAATAATCAGATTTCAACTGAAGTGTTACCGCAAATGCGTTACAGGTTAGATTGCATTTGGTATTATTGTCTTTAGTTGAATGAGTTCTTGATCAACCGTGATCGTAGTCCCACCCATGGTACATAGACGGAGGGTTAAATGGTGTGGAAGTTGACACCTTCGCCGTTCTCACGAGTTGACCGTTTCGTTTACTCCCCGTTACTGCACCTCCAGCCTTGTGTTTGTAAGTAGTTTGCCAGTTACTTCGCAGTCCGGCTCTTAGAGCCCGATGACTAGGATGTAAGGGCTCGTTAGGACGTTAGGTTCCTAAGAGCCGCTCTCTCCACTTCTCGCTCGTCCTCCTCCTTAATGAATAGGATTTTTTCCGCCATGTCCAGAAACGTCTGCCTGCCTCACGACCTAATAGTTAGGAGAAGCGACTATCGACTAGGATCCTCTTCTCTGCATAGCAGATCGTGAATTTCACAGAGCAGTTTCTCCGCATCACTGGGAAGTGGACTTCGTTCGTCGGTGAATTATCATGTGGCAAGACGATGTTTATTCCAGTGCGAGCTTCCGAAGATAGTGTGTTCCACGGTGTCTTCGTCGTTGTTGCAGTATGAGCAGATAGCGCCTGGGGCCCTGTTCATCCTGTGAAGGTAATGGTGGAAACGTCCGTGTCTCGTCAAGGCTTGGGTCACCCGGTAAGTGAGTGTGATATCGGATTCCACCCAGTAACCTCTACACGTACGGATCAGGGTATGCGTCCATCTGGCCGTGGTTGCCCTGTCCCATCTGGCCTGCCACGCGTTGATGGTGAAGGCTCACTTCTGCGTCCTTACTTTTACTAGGACCTCAGCAATGCGTGTAGATCATGTGGAGATTTCCAACTGTGGAGAATGTCGTCAATACGAAGCAGCCATGGGGCCGAGTTAAAAACATTCCATACATCCAGTGAGACAACACCGCAGATATCTCGGTGTTGCATTGCATCATAGCCACGCCCTTTTCCGTATCGATGACTCTGTTTATAGCGTCCATGATGGAATGCCTCTGTCTGAAGCCATGTTGCTTTTCGAACCTCTGTCCCACCCGGTTCAGATGATGTTCCAATTTTTCCAGGAATAGCCTTTCCAGAATTTTTCCAGT